TGGCTCAGAAAGTCTGGCATTTGAAGCATGCAAGTCTTAAAGCTGTCAAGCTACAAGACCCTTGCACCCCTAACCCTTTATAAAAAAAAACCCAGGGGTCTTCAAACCTGACAGCTTTAAGACTTGTGGACTTCAACTCCCAGAATTCCTCCTCCAGTCATGTTGCGGTAACGTCATCTGCACGAATCTGCTCCATCTTTGGTTTTTTCACAGGGGGCAAGGCTGCCGCTGAAGATGCCGACGAGCCCCCACCACCATCAGAATAACTGCTGCTGCCTCCTCCTCCTCCTCCAATAGCACCACCACATTTGCTGTCCGGTGCTGTGGCTGAGGTGAAGCCGTCAAAGCTCCCGCTGGCGCTTCGCCCATGGCAGCAGCGACGGCACCTCCCCCTCTGCTTGGAGCACCTGAGCTGGGCTCCACGTTACCCCTGCTGCCACCTCCTCCTCCTCCACCATGCTTTTGAGAAGCCATGAGGTCTTTTCTTCCTGCTCCCGCCCCCTCTGCCGCCTTCCTACTGGCTCCCGCGGCCTCATGGCTCCTCAAAAGCACAGCAGAGGAGGAGGAGTAACACGGGACCTAGCTCAGGTGCTCCAAGCGGAGGGAGAGGCACCACTGCCATGGGCAGGGGTGCCGGCGGGAGCTTTGGCGGCTTCACCTCAGCCGCAGCGTCGGGCGGCAAATCTGGCAGTGCTGTTGGAGGAGGAGGAGGTGGCAGCAGATATTCTGGTGGGGGTGGGGGCTTTGGCTAGGACTGGCCACCCACAAAGGCCCTCCCCAGGTTTGCTTTGCTGAACACGGGGAGACTGGTGCTAGTTTGAGCGGCCGCAGCCGGTGCAAACTACTGTCAGTCACCCAGTGCTCAACAAAACAAGTCTGGGGAGTTCTAGCCACCTGCAAAGGACTTCCCCACGCTTGCTTTGCTGAAAATGGGGCAACTGACGGTAATGAGCAGCACAGCCAGTGCCTAGGAGGTCCTAGGAGACCAGCTGTGTCGTGTAAGCTCTTGCCGCCATCCCTGCACCCTTGCTAACCCTAGATTTTCTGAGGTCCCTCAGCTTCCAGAGTCTGTGACAGAAATCACTGCACAGCAGTTAGAAACTGCTGCGCTGTGTTTTCTTGCCACGCAGCCACGCACCTTAGAGGGAACATTGCCGGCATTCCCGGAAGTTAATTACTTCCGGGTTCACCGACCAACCAGTCTGCAAGGACCAGCAAGGACCGGTAGGAACCCACCCCTGGCTTAGGGTATCGTGAGAGTCAGTTCTATGCCATGCCTCTGAAAGGCTAAGGGGAAAAAGCTAGTCAGATATTCTCACTGTGAAGGAAGTTGTCTAAATAATCTTCTTCTGCTTCATGAATTCATTCCTCAAATGCTATTAATATATCCAAAATGTTGCCCTATTGACCACTAGGAGCAATAGTAGAGATAGCAGGTAATGAACAGCTGAATGTCCTACTTTGATTGACCCTGATAGAAGACTGATGCTCTTAGGCTGTTCCTTTAGTCTACTACCTATAGCCATGATGGGAAACCTATGGCACATGTGCTGTAAGTGGCATGCAGAGCCATCTCTCTGGGAAAACCAGCCATCGTCCATTGCTCTTCTGGGTTCCGGCATGCACATGTACACTGGTCAGCTGAGCACCAGAAACCAGAAGAGCAGCTCTCCAGCGCGTATGTGCACCAGGGATGGGTTGCTGCCGGTTTTACTACCAGTTTGCAACCTGAGCACATCAGGCATACACAGAACAATTTACAGTGAACTGCGCATGCACAGTCACTAAAATCCAAAATGGTGGTGCCCCAGTGGTGGCAAGGGAACCGGTTCGGAAGCGTAGCAGGCCTGAGCTACTGCCAGTTCTGATGTGCCACCTCGGATATGCATGCCAGAAACCAAATTGCTCTTCCAGTTTCTGGTGGTCTCCCATGTGCACACACACAGACACACACACACACACACCTTTTAGCACTTGGTGCCAAAAAGGTTCACCAACACTGACCTATAGGGAAAAAAAGAATAATTTATTCTCATTTCCATCTCTATGACATTACAAAGCTCAGAGATGCAAGTTTATTTTGGGTGCCCTTGACATCAAGTGGCAGCCCTAATAATGTCAATTGTACCATGAGGTCATCACATTAGTAGTTTACTGTCCATTATATATATATTTTGTTATTTTGGGATGGTCCCCTGAGACATATGACATCATGCTCCTTGCCCATGACTGGATCTAGTAACTTTCTTAATCAACACTAATATCACCCTTTGAGGCCTTAAGACTTATTCGCTTTGGCTCCACTTAGATATCTATGAATCCTAAATGAATAACTGGAGAATTCCAAGCAGATTAACCTCCAAATTTGACAAAAAGTTTTTATCTTGCTTCAGAATGATTATTTTCAGAGACTTAATTCTGTCAGGTGATGGGCACTGGGTGAATTCCAATATCTCTTACTGCAGCCCCACACACAGTCCCTCAAAATCTAGTCCGGAGGCTGAACAGATAGGTGGAAGGATGGAATAAATTATTATTATTTAGTGTCTTCAAATCAGTGTTGACTCCTAGTGGCTGCCTGGACAAGTCCCTGTAGTTTAATACTTCTTGTTTGTGTAAGAAGACAAAGACAAGGGTTTTGGGGAGTAGTTTGCCCTTTCCAATTTCCTAGAGTTGAGAGTGATTGGTCCAATGTCATCCAGCTGGCTATATGCCTACATAGAACTAGAATTCATTGCCTTCTGCTTTCTAGCCCTGATGCCTTAACTACTACACATACTGGCTCTGTTGGATAGATAGAATACCACTTACACAGTGTTCAATTTTACCTGTCTCTACTCCTTAACTCAACCTTGATGTCCTCCAGTGTTGTAGATTTCTTCAGCCCATTCTCAGCCACTCCTGAGGATTAAAGAAATATAGCACACCTGAGTTTGGGAAATCTCCCTTAAAGTGGGCATTATTTTTCTTTTAAGATTTCTGAATAGAATATACTTATCATTGGGATAATTTATTAAAATATCATTTGCTGTCCTTTCGTTTCTGCCTTATGACTTTTCAATAATTGATTTTTTAAAATTGTTTTTCTCCCACCGAGATCCATGATGATTTAATGTTTTTCATTAGTCTTCCACTCAAGGCATCAGGGCTACATTTGATATTCTAGATCTAGAACTATAATCTAGTTGGTAGTTTTACTCATCCCTAAATATATTCCTGCAACTTCTCCTTCATATAGAAGTTTCAAAGGTGTATTCTCTTATCCTCATTTTTAAAGTTATATTTTATATTTCACATTTTTAAACTGCCCATCCCCCACAAAGAGGGGCTCTGGGCGGTGTACAATATAACGTATATATTTAGAATTTAGAAGAAGGCATGGATGATTAAATGCTGTTAAAAATTACTTTAAATGGTGAAGGGAGAGCTGACAGGCAGAGCTGGGTTGCTGCCGGTTCGGCCAAACCGGTAGTGGAATTCAGGCCTGGGTTGCAGAACCAGCAGTGGCCCAGGCCTGCCATGCCTCAAACCGGTTCCCTCACTGCCGCTTGGCACCACCATTTTTGATTTTAGTGACTGCATGTGTGCAGTTTACTGTAAATTGTTCTGCGCATGTATGCAGAACAATTTCCATTTAATTGCGCACATGTGCACAGCGCGCACATGCGCACATTATGTGTGGGTTGTGAATTGGCAGTAATGCTGGCAACAACCCACCCGTGCTGACAGGGCATCAATCAGCCCCACAACTGTGCTTCCCTGGGATCCCTACTCAAAGCTGAAAGGCGGACAAAGCTCTCTTCTTAGAACCTGCAAGTCAGAATTCTTTAACTGATGGGGTCTGCAACATACCTTCTCTGCCTCACTTACATGGCATGAGCCAAAGTATTCAGAGGAAGATGGTTTCACAGGCAAACTGGTCCCATGTGGGGCTTTACATAACCAACACCTTGAATTGGACCCGGAAGCAAACTGATACGCAATGTAGTTCACACAGCAAAGATGTTACATGTTTCAGATAGCACCATGTAGTGCTGCAATAATCTAGATCAGTGGTCACCAACCGGTGGTCTGTGGACCACTGGTGGTCCGCAAGAAAAATTTGGCAGTCCACAGAAAAATTATTTGCATTTTTTATATTGCACTAAATCAGGGGTCCTCAAGCTATAGCCCCTGGGCCAGATACGTGCGATGAACGTTTGTGTGTTGCTGCAGAAAGTCTCCCCCTTTGGGTTCTTTTTGTGTGGGTCAGAGGTGGGGAGAAATTCTGATTTGGGGTGTGCTTCAGCTTCCTGGTGTTGGGTTTGGGTGAAGGCTGGAGGTAAGTGCCACTGGTGGCAAAGAGCTGGAGGGTCTTGTTCCAATGGGACTGCATCATGGCCTGGAACTGGCTGACCATCTCAGTCCACTGAGCCTCCAAGCACCAGTACCTGGCCTTGCACTCCTGTAGGTCTTCCTTCTGCTTGGAAAGCCTAAACTCGTAGTCCTCAGTGAGGTGCTTCTGCTGAGCCTCTTTCTCAGTCAGATCCAGTTTGAACTGGACAAGCTGTTTTGCCAACTCTTTCTCATGATGGCTGCTTAGCTCCAACAACTGCTTCCTGTTGGGGTCCTAAGGAGTACAGGCGGGCAGGTGAGGAGTGGCTGAGAGCGGAGGGGAGAGTAGAGGCTGGCGAAGTGCCCTTTGACATTTGTGACATCAAGTTGGCCATGCCCACCCAGTCACATGACCACCTAACCACACCCATCCAGCTTGTCATTTAGGCAGATCATATTAGTGGTCCTCTGGATTTAAAATTATAAATTTAGTGGTCCCTGAGGTTCAAAAGGTTGGTGACCCCTGGTCTAAATGACCAAGGCATCAATGACCAAGCAGAGGGTCTCGCTATCCAGGGAAGGATATAACTGATGCACAACACAAAGTTGAACAAAGGCCCTCCTAGCCATGGCTGCTATCTGCTCTTTGACCAGGAGCTATGAGTCCAGGAGGACCCCAGGTTATGTTCTGGGTCTGTCTGAAGTAGTGCAACCCATCTAAGATGAAAAATGATAAATTTCTGAATACAGAGGGGCCCATCCACTCTGACTTACCAGGGTTCAGCTGAAGTCAGTTGTTCCTCATCCAGGTCCCCACAGCTTCCATACACTATGAAAAAAATGCCCACAGTATTACTTACTTTACCTGGAATGGAGATACATAACTGTATACCATCAAAGTATTTGTATCCCATGATGGCAGATGCTCTTGGCCAGCAGTTTCATGCAGATGTTAAAAAGGAGGAGAGAGCACTGAGACCTGTGGCACCCCATAAAACCCAAAACTGTGCCACCCATCCTCAATTCTTAAATTGGGCCAACAGGTTACCATGGTCAATGGTATTGAAAGCCTCTGAGAAGTCAAGAAGACCAAGGATGGGTGCATCACCTCCATCCTTCTCCCACCAGAATTCATCCAGGAGTGCAACCAATGCTGATTGGTCTATATTTTCTATACAATATATCATTTCGTATGTCATGTTCATAACACCCAAAGAATCTCCTTTCGCTTATAGAAACACACTCAGACATATAGACAAGAAAATATTATTTTCTCTTTCAGGTCCTCAAGGTTTCCAAGGTGCTCCTGGAGTAGACGGAGATAAAGGTAAATTATGTTGTGTAAATGCAATTGAAATGCCCTTCTCATCACCTATATCCTGACACAAACATTCTCCAACACTATAACCCTATACTTACCAGAAGTCAATTTCCTTATATTCAGTAGCATTTATTCTTACATACTGTAGATGTGTTCAGGAGGACAAGAGTCTCGCCCAGTTCCTGGAACTAAATGTTGCTGAATTTAACAGAGGTTAATTTTGAATGAAAATCCATGGGATTGCACTGCAGAGCAAAGTGTGCTTACTAGGCGGTAAGACACACAGAGATCAATAGGACTTACACCTGAGAAAATACTAAAACAAGAGCAACTAATTTTTTTCCCTAGAAATAATTTGACTCCCGAGAACACATAATATAGAGAAGTCTTCACTGAAATTGCTAGAAGTAATTACATTGTTGTTCCTAATAAAGGAAGTGGCTACTGCTCACTTATTTGGCACCAGATTGTATACTTTAAAAGTGTATTTGCAGACTTTCTTCCCCTTTTTCTCCTCTTTTATTGATCAACTCTTTCTACCCCATGAGCAATGAGCAATTTATGAAGGGATTTTGACCTTCCTCCACATTAGTCGATGGACTAGGTTTCTCCCAAATGGTAAAAATGAATTTTGAGTCTCTGTGGCCTTATCCCTTCTAAACACTGCCCCATGCTATAGATTTGCAGGCAAAAACTCTTCTTACTGACATCAACAAGAAACGATTCATGGTGATGTGAATCAGCAAAAGACGAAGCAGGATACGGTGGCCGTTCTCTGCATTTCCTTTTTGATACAAAGCTGCTTACAACAGGAGATTGACAGTAAGAGCAGATTTTGCCTCCAAATCTATAATATGGAACAAAAGGTACCAATCTGCAGAGCAAAATCATCTACTGCAGCCCGGCATGATCTAATACAGGTAGTCCTTGATTTGTGACTGCTCGCTTACCAACTGTTTGAAGTTACAATGCACTTCCCCAGAGCTACTTACAGCCTAGGTTTCAAAGTTCTGATGACTGCCCCCTTTTGGTTATGTGATTGCATTTGGGGGGCTTGGCAAGCGGCCATTTCCAGTGTCCTGCAGTCATGTGACTGGGATTTATTACAATTTTCTTTTGCCAGGAACCAGCATTTACTTATGGTGTCCAGGTACAATAGGTTCACTTAACAACTGCCACATTCATTTAATGTCTGTGGTGCTCATTTAATGACTGTGGTGTTTGTTTAACCACAAAACTGTTGTAAAATTGGGCATGGTTACTTGATGACTTGCTTGATGACCGCCAGGTTCAATTACACTCATAAATCAAGGACTACCTACAGTCTATGTACCTTCTGATCTGCAACTTCCAGAAGCCCCAGTTTACATGACTAATGTTGGCCTGGTTTTTAGACACAGTGGTTGTGAAGTCTAGGAGTTGTAGTTCAAAGTATTTTGACAGCACATGATCAGGACCACTGTTCTATTACTAAGTAATCTTTTCTTACCAAATTAAAAGGATGGTTCTTAGCACACCTTTCTTTGTACACAATATGCAATTGTCCCTTCACATTTGGTCTGAGATCACACCCTTTGATTCACTTAACAGGTGCTGCTGGAAATGTGGGTCCACCAGGACCTCGTGGCCCAAAGGGTGAACAAGGGGAGAAAGGAGCAGCAAGTCAAGTTCCAGGTAAGCAAATACCATGGGCTTTTTTAAAAAAAAATTATTATTAAAGTCCATATTCCTCTAGTCCAGTCCAGTTCAATTAATAATTTTCATACATAAAAAATCTTTTTTTTCTGAATTCCAATTATATAGTGTTTTTAAATTCGTAAGTCTTTTTTTTTTTAAATCCTTGTATCAAAGAAAGAAAGTAAAGCTCACCAGGTTTCAAATTAAGCTTGCCATTTTGAAAGTCTCTAATATCTATGACATAGTTAAGAAGATCATCTCCAAATGTGATCACAATGTGAGTGTAACTAGCTTAACATTGTTTTTAAAGATGTTGCTACAACTGAGTTGCTGCAACTGAGAGCGAGAAGTTATCCCCTTTCAGGGTGCTCCATCCCATAGGGGCATTACAATTCCCTTGCAAGGAGCTGCCATGTAGAGTCTGTGGACAATTTCCTATTCTTCTTTTCGCCAGAGAGTTTGCAAAGGACTGGTCTACCTGCCAATTCTTCATGATAGTCCTAGTCTCTGCTGTTTGTAGAGACATCTTTAGTCAACATTGACTCTCCTGACAGCTGAAAGAGCTGCAAATAGCATGCTGAAACATTTGCTTCCGAAGACTTTCTAACCTGTAGTTCTTCTTTCTTCTCTCAGGCCCACGAGGACAAAAAGGTGATCAAGGTCAAAAAGGTAGTAAGGGAGATACAGGTAAATTCCAAAACCAATATCAATAATTTGCGCACATATATAATCAAGTGCATGTGAACTTTTTGGCAGAATATGGATTTATCATGTTTAAATTATTATAGGCAAGCATAGCCAAAGAGCACTCACACTCACTCTCAACCCACTCTCCATAAATTCCCTTTTATTGAAGCTGCTGGATCACCCCATATGCCTTGTTT